GGCCGGTATCTCCGTACCAGGAACATTTAGAACTTTAGAACATTAGAGAGATTGCAAATTTTGTATTCTTACGTATTATAAATAATATTAAACATAACAAATCATAGTTTTAATAAATTCTATGTGTTTTAATATTCATATATTGACTTTAAATTCTGTACGGAAAAATAACTATGAAATGCTGGATTGAAATTTATTTATCTTTTTAACAATTTATGCATTCTTCTATACACACACGACAACAATTTCATTTATTTATATATTTTATTTATTTATTTTGTTGACGTAGAGAGTCCAAGAATGAGATACTAATCGATTAAATAATAAGGAAATTTTATTATACGGCATGATGGTACGTTTCATTTTCTTCGAAGCACTTTAGGGAAAAGCTATCCGGAAATGCGATGAATTATGTATTAGGATTCTGATACCAAAGGGCATGTTTCCTTCTCTCAAGCACTTTGGCAATGTCGAGATGTGGTTAAAATATTACTCGGATTCGTGAAAGTAACCATTCTCATAAATCCCATTCCCTTTTTTTTTTTTTAACGAATAAGAAAAAAATTATTCACGTTTTGGTTCGACGAAATTTTGTATTTTATTTTATATAAAAGATATAAATCTTAAAAAATCAAATAAAAGAAGTAGTAATGTTTTCTTTTTTAATGAATCTCGCATATTTGCGAGACGTTGACGTGAAACGAACAACGAATAACATTCATATAATAACATTTATGATTTTTCATAGATTAGGTTTATTGTTAGTCGTGAGTTTGTAAGTAAACCAATCCGACACTTCGGGATTTCGAAAAGAGATTCTTTTTTCGAATGACTTGTTAGATTCCAAAGGTTTTTTAAATGTTTCTTCGATCCTGAAGATAAAAGAAGTAACTCGATAAAACATTTTTGTTTATTTAATGAATAAATGCATAAATAATTAATTTTCTATTTAATCTGTCGATAAGAACATAATGAAAATTTGAATTTGCAATAGTAAAATATATATATAATTAAAAATCAATTAACGATAAGATTAAATAAAACAAAGTCCAATTCGTTTAACGCGTTTCTTACTTATTTTATCTTATCATTTTACTACTTGGCCCAGATATCCAAAATAGTGTCCAGTGACTCAGTGGCATCTAACATCCACACGAAAGACAATAAAGATAAACAAAATGCCATATGCGTAGCTGCATTTTCCTTAGCCAGATAATGAGCCAATGTCGTTACTAATGAGTACCGACTAAGACCTATTGTCGTATTTAACCATAATAACTAAAAATAATAAAAAAAACGATTTTGTCATTATTAATTATGAATTATGTCTATTACTATATGTTTTTAACCTATTACTATAATTAATTTTAATTCTGATTTATTATTTTCATCGAGTAAAATATTTCTGTTTCTACTAATTCTTACCCATGTGCTTGATTCTTGAGTTAGACAAAATATTACGTGCATCATTGGTATCCAGATAGCACGAGTTACAAGGTTCGTAGTTAACGAGGCCACCAACATCTAGCCAATAAAAAATAATATAAAATGGTGAAAAAAAGTATGCAAATAAAAATAAAAAATAAAAACAAAATGAACAACCTCGTAAATATAAAGAAGTTGTATCGGTGGTTCTTTCAATGATCTCGGCCAAAGTCTGTACTCTGCTAAAAGGCACAATGCAGAGAAAACGAAAAGTATCGAAGAATAAGAAGGATCGAACGGTGGATTATTTTCTTCCTCGAAACACAAACCGATTATACATATGTGTCGGAGATAAGTGTACATTCCCGTTGAAACTACGGTTACCCAATGGGGATTGATATATCCGACGTATTCCTTAACGGTGTCCATTTCGTATAATAAACGGACGTTATAACGTTTCGAAAATCAACCATCAATTTCGCTGTCAATTAAATTAATTATTACCGGAACATGACAATTAGGTTATCAATTAATTATCCCATAAATGTCAATGTCAAAAATCAAAGAAAGAAAGAAAGAGAGAGAGAGAGAGAGAGAGAGAAACAAATGATAATCACCGTGATTTAACGAAATTCACCTCGTTGTTTTGTAATCCTTTCGAGTGTTAGAAAAATCATAAAAGAAATTAATTTATTCGTATAAATTCGAGAGAGAGAGATAGATATGGGCGATGTCGTAAATATCCAAATGAAAAATCGTTAATGGAAATGTCCTATGTTGATCCTACGTAATGGCTAAATTGCTTTGCACGATATGGGCGTTGATGTTGAACAGCTTAGACGTGTCCATTTTCAAAACGTGTTTCGCCAATGCGATGGAAGATGATTTTGGTGAACCATTGATCACAGGACCACCGATAACTAGTTTCCTCTTTGCTGCTGGAGTCTACGTCATCGTGGCACAATCGACATTATTTCCGGAATCCTTTCGCAAACCTAATCCAACGTTGCTCTGCATTTACGAGGTTATTATTCTAATTTCAATGATATTTTTTATTCGTTATATTTCGCCGGAAACTTTTATTCGTTGCATATATATATGTTTCGATTATGCAGTTTCTTACGACAGCGTTCTTCCTGGAGTTCTCGATCGCCTGCATCTGGACACCCATCGATGTGCTCATGCTAACTACTCTGCCCAAGGCCATTTGCCACGTAACGTAACGATCTACCCGTTCATTCCGTTGATCGCATTCGTAGCGATAACGATTAAAACAATTCACTTACACCATTAAACGCACACACGCGCGTTTTGTAAGCGTGATCCTGATTGCTAGCATTTGATTTCTGCATTCTGTTAAACTATTTTCTCACGAGATTCCTCGATAAAAACAGACTCTTCAAGATTATGGATACAACGAGGTCGCTGAAACCTTCGTAGCCAACAAATCGTCTATGGCTGCACTTAGCTACGGAACTTCTATGACCTTTTTTCTATTAGCATTGCACGTTACTAAAACTGTCGACTATGAGATACTTACGTACGTTCAACGATTATTATTATTACTTTTTTTTTCTCGATACTTTGTATTAGGTTTTCTTTTTTTCTTTATCGATTAATAAAAAAAAAAAAAGGAACTACTTTTTTTTTTTTAGAGAACGCGGACTTACTTACTTCGGTTCCCATTTGAAAAATAAACTTTGGCAACAAATACAGAGCGAACTACCGAAATCGAAGCAGATCAAAAGATGTCCTTGTAAACCTCGAAGGAATAATCGTAGCAAGAGTCGTGGCAAGGATTATTAATTAATAATAAAGAACAATTATCCGTTGTTATACCGTTTAAATAAATGACAAAGTTTTACCCGGAAATGTGGATGACTTTTAATTACCTTTCCAAACTATTTCTATATTCTTCCACTTTCTCTCTCGCTCTCTCTCTTTTCTTTTTTTTTTTTTTTTGTTTTATGAAAAAGAAGGCATTTATTTCATCCGAACTGAAATGTAAAGTACAAATTGTATAGATAATATAGTGGTAATAATATAATAATTAATCGTTAATAATAAATATTAATTCAATTAATCATACGGTAGAGAGATTGTTTCATGTGTATAATGCGTTTTTTCATATACGTATATATATTTGTACCATTAAAATATATACACGTATATAATGCTCGCACGAATGTTAACTATGTCAGTCTGTTTGTTTAATTTGCTTGTATAGATTTATGTATGTTTATACACGCGTACAGGTAGCGTACGTGTTGTATTGTATTATCGCGTATGTGTGTGCATGTATATCGTAATTGTACTAAAAGGGGGATGTGTGACCTGTGTGTGTGTGTTGGTGGCAGCATTACATTATGTAATTTAATGAATTATATATTACAATGATTCCTCGTCTCGCCGACGGACGGCCGCAGATATAGCTCGCGATTACTTTTCTTCTTATATTTCTTTTCTTTTCTTTATGTTTTTTTTTTCCTTTTTTCTATTTCCCTATATTATTTTAGAACCTTTCCACGGCATTGGCCCGCACATCATCATGATGCAGCCTCTCTCGTCGGCTACGGTTCTTTTTTTTTTATTTTCAAACGTGTCCGCATATTAATAATCATTCATTCGTCTAACAATTCTTCTTCGTCTTCATTTTCATTTTCATATTCAACTTCATTTTCTTCTACTTTTTGTTCCCCCCTTTTCGTAAACACGATCAGGCAGTGCATTGAAATTGTTTACCGGATATGTAGGATGGCCGTTAAGACTTTGCTCTCTCTTTCTTTCTCTCTCTCTCTCTCTCTCTCTCTTTCTTACTGCTTTTTTTTTCTACTAACTCTTCTTTATTTATTTAACGCAGATATGATGAAATCGGCAGATTTGTCTCGCGAATGTGAAAATAGGGATAAATTTTTATTCACGATGGGAGAGGTGTGTTAACGTGTATGGGAGAAAAAAAGGGTTTGTGCGCGGGTACCAAGAACGGGCAGGCTCGATCGAAAACAACAATTCGGTGGAATTCGGGACTTCGTTTTTCTATAATTGGAATAATAGATTTTTTTCCGAAGGAACGTCTTTCTCGTTTACTTTACTACGGCCTTCCTCATTTCTATCGAATTAAATCTCGATCTATACGATATCTTTCTTTCTTTTTTGTTTTTTTT